CAATTGTCTATTATCTATTGGTCAAACAAAAATGACACCCTGGGTTTTGAGAAATCGTGATTCTTTGTATCTATTGTCTGTTTCAATTATGGACAAAATGATTAATTGAGAAATAATTGGCTAATTTGTTGAAACTGGCAAACCGGTAAGCGAAAACTGGTCAGTTAAGGATCGAGCCTTCGGGTTGTGAAGAGGTGCCAAGACTTCATGATGATAATGTGATTCTACTTATGTAAGATTGTCAAGCTCCGGTCTCTGAACAGATTGAGGAGCTGGACCGAGAGAGATTTAAATTGGAGTGCACTCCTCAGGCCAAAGTGACGTTTCATCTAGAAAAAGTTCGAACTCTCTCTGCCTCTCTCCCATCAGAAACCTCTCAGGCTGAGCTCTTGGAGGGTGTCTCGGCTTTGTGATGCTTAGCCTCTTCCTTGCCCCATGACTCCCAGTATCATTAGTAGTTAATTTCACGAAATGATTTCTCTTCCATTCTTAATTAATTTCAATAAAATATGCAACTGGGCATTTCAGGGTAGATTGACTGACCGATTTTATTGGACTATCATTCCTTCTATTATTCCTCATATTGCGGCAGCTGTTAATCCCCATTAAGAGTGATGGACCACCGCTGCTGTTCACCCATAGTTTTATCTTTAATTTTTAAGATTTGTGTTTGAAGAAGGTGCTTTTGTGTCCAGAGACGACGCAGTTTGATAGCCTTGCTGGAATAGTGTAGACTCAGCCCTAGTAAAACCAAAAGCTGGGATTGACATCACAGATTAATGAAGATTACATGCAGTGATTACTGGCCACGGGATGAATCGTGATGACCTCATGTCCCATCAGAGGGCAATAAATCAGGAGACGTCAGTGGAGATCCCTGTGGAGGAGCTGGGAACGGGGAGGTGGACATTCAGGTCACCTCTCAATGACACGGGAAACAGAAATAGCTCAAGGTTACAGACCGCTTTTTAGTGGGAGTGCTCATCTGTGATTTTTATAGTTTCTGCATAAAATGGATTGTAAAACAGCTACTAGAAATAATTCCCTGAGCTCAGCCAAGATTGGTCAGAAATTGGTCATTCAAGCCTCAGTTCCTCGACGCAGATGCACCCTTCCATTGATGGCAGGCTGGGATCTCGCATGGGATTACCCACCAGGCCTGGATCTCACATTCTTGGTTTTCTTCTGATGCAAACACTCACGTCGCCCCACATGCAGAGCGCTGACCCCTCTTTTGAAAAAGGAGCGTGCAGATCCTATGCTTAGTGACCCCAACCTGCCCCGGCTTCCACTTCCCACTGCCACCTCTCTCTGTTCCCCGTCGATTTTCATTTCAATGGCCACCTTCCACTCACTCATCCACCGCTCATCGTGGCGTGGGAACCTACACCTGTGGCTCTCCCCAGACTTCACCACTATCTCATCCTCTGAATGGCCTTTTGTGAAGACTCAGTTGACCCTACCTGGATTCAATAAAAGGAATGAGGTTTGGGCCAGTTTGTGATGCAAAGATGGCCCCTTAGTGTTACATAATTTTGGGAAAACAGATTCACTGAGTGTATGACACATTAAATCTTTTTTTTTTTTTTTTTTCACCATGCCCTCCTTCTTGACTTGAAAACTAGGATTTCTCTCAGTAAATCCTCTAATCCATTAGGGGAAGGGCCAGGTTGGGTTTTGGAGATTTGACTGACACAGGATTCTTCAGAGTCTCTGATGAAGTATATCACAATGTGAAATGTTGTTGTGTGTTGTGTTGACTAAAAGGGCAGGTTCATAAATTAGTTACACTTTTGCGAGAACCACTGTCTGTTTTCTTTTCTTCTTTTTTTTACTTCAGCCATGTAACTGTCCTGCCCAGGCTCAGTTGCACACATGCTGACACTAATTGTCCTCGTGCTGACTGTGTCTCTTCATGGACAATGGTTTTGATTGGGATGGGGGTGAGTTACGGTGTTGGGACAAGGGTCTTTGTTCAGTAGCCTTTCCCCCTTCCCTCCCCCACTTCTCCCCTTTATCCCCCCTGCCCATCCACCTATCTTGTTCCAACCATTTGGGCAGCTGTCACTTAATCCAGCTAATCACAGACTGGGATGGTCTGTGGGAAACCAGACAAGTCCGTGGCTTTGCTCAAGCCCAACACACACTGACTCAGGGGACTATTTAACCAAACATTTACAACATGGAGGCATGCAAGCAGGCCTGGCTTTTGGGTAAACCCAAAAGGTTGGGGTCACAATGTGGGCACCTGCTCTTTCTTAGGTCTGTGGAGAGATTTGTCTGCAACACTTGCATATTCTCGCACATCATCCTAAGATTGATATCACCTGTCATTAAGGCAAGCCACTTGTAGTTCCTCTTGTAGCTCCTCTTGTATGCATTGGCATATACGCACACACACCCACTCACATGCTCAGTCTGGGGCAGCCAGCCCACCCTTTTGTGGTGGGGGGAGGGGAGATGGGTGGAAAGGTCAGAAGCCGAGCTACATATCGTGGGATGATCCACGTTCATGTCAAATAATCCATCTCTGAGGCTGCATCTGTTGTGCGTCTACGGTTGGACGGGTTGGCGGAGCTTCCGGCAACAGCAGCACGAGTACCCGTAGACCTGAACCCCAAAACACCCCTCTCTTCCAGCCATTTTACTCTCAACCATCTCCTCTACCCCGGCCTCGCTCCAGCATCTCACGTCTTGCCAGCAGCTACAGTCTCATGCAGCTGCACCACCCGTTGTCCAAACTCTGACCCGAGCCCTTTAGCTCACCTCAGTCCCATCATCTTCCATTCCCTTCTCTTGTCACCCATGGTCTTCCACAATAACACTCCCCTCCCCTTCCTCCCGCCACCACCCACAGCCAGACAAGCCTACTTAATCCCACAGCCCAGCAGCAACCAGCCTACCAGCTTGTTGGTCCCCCAGATCAACAACACAGACACACGCACACACATGCACACACACACGAACACACACACACATGACACACAGACACATTACTCAATCCCCCTCTCTGTGATTTCTCTTTCCATCACAGCGACCACAATCCCTCTAACACTTCCCCAATTTGTGTATTTCCACCACCCTCCCAGACTGACGTCCTGTCAGTGACTTTACAGTAGAGGTCACGACAGTCACACTGTGGCTACTACAACTGTCACTGCTGGTGACGTAATGAATGCTATTTAGGTCAGCTGGTTGCCTAGCAGTGCAGCACCAGCTAGATTACTCCTGTGTGATGCTGGTTAGCTTGGTTAGTTTCCATCTCTGTGTCTGTGTGTGTGTACACATGTACATAAACTAACATTTTGGCGCATTTGAATACTTGTTATATTTCTGATATCAGTTAAACTGTTAATTTAATTGTTTAATCTGTTTTTAATTCTTAAACTAGTATTGACAAAGTCGTTGAGACAATAAATCGATTAATTAGTCAATTGAACGCAAATGAATCAGCAGGTTTTTGATGATCATCAACAAAATACCAACATTTCACTGGTTCCAGTTTCTCAAAAATGCATTTTGGATTCTTTTATATGTCCCATGGGATAACGAACTAAATATTTTTACTTGCACTTGTGAAGTTTTAGCCACACCACTTTAACAGAGCTAAAGGGACAACTTCTACAATACAAAACCAAATGTATTCATCTGAAAACTGTATAAAACAAAAATAAGGAGAAAATCCTCACGTCTGACTGATATTCAGTGATCAATTGATTAACGGGCCTTGTTTATTCAATTTCAGAAGATTAAGCAATTGATTACAATGTAAAACCCATTAATTAAAGCAGCATTTCTGTGATGCTGATCAGGAGTAAAGCATAACTTGGTGTGAAACCAGATAATCCCCATAGCCACTGATTTACCTCAGTGTCTGACAACCAAGGACAAAGCCCGGCAGAGTTCATCTCACACAAGCTAATATCGGCAAAGTCACCTTCTTAATGGACACCATTACCTGATGAGGCTTTGTTTTTCAACACGGTGGCGGGCTTTCAGAAATCATAGGGTCCAGTTGGTAGATTAGAACCTAAACCTTCACACTTGGGTCTCGGAAAGATCCAGGACTGTTTGTTGAGTGTTGGTTCTGGCCGTGTTACAAAGTTGATTAAAATATATATTGAAATTTGCAAATCATATAAGATTAATAATGCACCATGGAGGGATGAACAACAGTGTGAAACCGTTAACTGGCACCTTGGACACGATACCAGGGAACATACTGTACATGCATTCGCTCGTCTACGTTGCAGCCCAGGAAGTTTGGTGTAACCTTCCCTTGCATCCTCTCCTCGGCAGCTTCTCTTGGCCTCGTCCCACACTCGTACTCACAGCATCTCGCTCCCTTGTTTCTCAATCATTGGGTTTCATCGGCAGCGTAACTCAAGCACATCTCGGGGCCAAGTTGCATACGAGACTCTGTAGTTGCAGGGAAATCGATTTTTTTTTTGTGTGCGTGACTGCTGGTGTTTGGAGAAGAGCTGCTTCGCAATATCTGTTGCAAGCACAAATTACTTATTTGTAGACGAGTGGAACAAGAAACGAGCTCACGGAAAGAAAAGGGATCTTAAAGAACCTTTGATTGTGCTGCAGGTGTAACGATAGTAAATATGATAATTGTAAATATTGTATTTTGTGCTAATTGATATGCTGCATATATTAATTCACACCATATGCAACTGGAGTTCATAGCTGGAAAAGTATTGATTTTGATTCTTAAAGCAGGTGATTGAGTTTCCTCATACCCCTGTTGTGTGTGTGTGTGTGTGTGTGTGTGTATGTGTGTGCACGCTCATGCAGTGTTGTGTTACAGTAGCACATTGACACAGTTGTTTATACCTCCTAATATATGAAGGCTGGAGTCTCACAGATCACAAAATCAGCAAGTGGTAAATAGCAGCAACAGAAACTCTTCAGCCTTGTAGTTGCAGTTACGTTGTCGTATATAATTGAATCATAATCGTAATTTCCCCTGACACTTTTCTTTCTTTTCTCTCCAGCGGACGTACACGTTGATTGTTGAGGCCTGGGACTGGGACAACGACACACGAAGCAGTAAGTGTAAACTTCACATATAATGTATGTCAGTGCTGTGGCATCTACTTTAGAGCTTTAACTGAAGTTCAACGGTGTTTATGAACAAATTAACATCATTTAAAGTAATATGAGACTTTTCACAGTTGAAATAAACTTTCCAGCGGACAAAACTTCTACCCGGGGCCGTCGCAAGAGTTCAGGTAAAGCAGGCAGTTACCTTGGGCCCCAAGCTGAGAGGGGCCCCCTGCTAGAGAACGACTGATTTGATTTAGATCTCATGACCTTTTCGAAGGCTTCTCAGTATTTAGTTGTGTAAATGAATTTCTGTGCTGACTTGTAGGTAGCAGGTTGAAAACATGTTGTACTGTAGCCTCCCTGAGACGCCTCTTATAGAATTCAAGCCTTGGTTCTTCTCAGCAATGTTGGCTCGGTGCTGACCAGCTGTATCCTGTTTTCCTTTGGTTATGTCCGCTGGGTGGACTCCTGGACAACCCCTTTTTCCCGTCTGAGCAGTAGCTCAGTCTGGGAGGAAGAGGACCCTCTGAGGACTAAAATGTCTGTGTGGACGCAGCTTTGATCTGTGGAGACGGGGGCATATTTCATGAGTCTCAAATGCCTTTTCTGTACATGCAGCTATGAGCATGAATGTGTTTTACGCACCGAACCAAACTGTCCTCGCTAGTCTAAACCTGCACCTTATTTATAGGAGGTCATTACATCCTGTTTTGTCCATAACATCAAACGCATTTCCACTCGCGTGTTCGGACAATGGAGAAGAAATAGATTTTGACATCATGGCTCTTTTATTAGACCGTTGCATTCCCTGTGTAGTCTCCTGCTTCTCCAGTAATCGTGTTCATTTGCAGTAATTAGCTCTGATGCTTGTGGTTGATAAAAGGCCTAAGTGTTGCTTGTCCAATTGATTTCCTGCCAGCGAGAAGCTCTTCAGTCTCAGCCAAATTGCTGTAAAGAATCAAAATAGATGTTATCGAGTGCAAGGATGCAAGACGTAAGAAACACTAATTTAACACTTTAGTTTAACGTGGAACTGTCTGAATTTGACCTTTCAAAGTGAGTTCATCGGACTCGGTTGCATGATTTTCTAAAGCTGAACTGAGGCTGCTCTGCACAGACGTCTGCTGACTTCAACCTCGATGTCATGGGTTCAAGAAACGCAAACGTCTGGAACAAACGCTCCTTTCAACCTCTGTGGAAGATGACAAGAGAATGTGATTGTTGTAGAAAACGCCTTTAAAGGTCACAGTGAGTTACAATCGCGTCTGTAGCCTTTGCCTGACAGGCGGGTCGAGCAGGTCACACTTGTTTGTGTTTGGCTGATTTTAATTTGATGCATCACGACACAGATATTATATTTTTGGAAAATCACTTGCTGGGTTTGTGCAATTCCTGGTTAAAGGAGAGTTTAAAAGCCTGTAGAAGTTAATTTGTTGTTGCTGTCTTAGACTCAACTGGGCTCAAACTGGGAATTTGTGTTGGCAGATACTTGGAAAGAGAGAAATTCAGGCGGATGCTAAGCTATAGGATTTTAGCTATTTAGGGCATTGAAAGGTCTGGTGGTACAAACAGGAGATAGTGATGGAGCTGCTGCTGGTTTGCGTGAGAAGCTTAAATACACGGAAACAAGGCTCTAGTTTTCTTTGCCTCTGCTGTTGTCTGTAGAGCTTTGACTTGTGGCTTCCCCACAGTCACATTATCAGCAGGCTTGGTCGTTTTATTTTATAGTTATGGAGACAATAACCTCACTGATACGGCTCAGCCGTGCAGCAGCACTGAAAGCTGAGTCTCTAACAGGTTCAGATCCTTCTGTACCTCCATACTTTAAATATTGAGCCTATTCTAGGAATCTTGTAAAGGTTAGAACCATTAGAAAGCTGGCGTCTGTAGCTCTGTGACCATATCCTGAAAAATGAGTTCAGGACTGATGGAGGTAGATTTTTCAGGCTGTTTCCTGTCGCTGCAGGCAGCCCTTCTTGAAATGCACTGCAATTGATGCGCAGTGTTTTAACCTTTGCTTCTCCAGTGAGGTTATCTCCTCTGCACAAAACCAGATACAAGTGGAATAAAACGAGAGATTTGAACATTCCTGGTTCTCTGGCCTGAGTCAGCAGCAACCTCATGTCTTGTCCTACGTAAGAGCCTGTTGGTCTGTCAGTGAGATTCCTCTCCTCCAGCGTCATGTCCTCCAGTGTGCCTCTCTTCCCTTCCCCCTGTGTTCTCAGGAAAAGCGGCCGGCTGTTTTCCTTGTGTTTATCGAGCAGGAAGTGGAGTGGACTGGGCGGCCGGGCTCAGTGTTTAGACACCGAGGTACCAGAGCCCGGCTTGGGCCTGGAGCCCATTGTTCTCTATCTGGCAACTGTTATTTCTGTTATTGTTGCTTAATTCTGTCTGACATTGTGTCAGTCCCCAGCAGAGGAAGGTGTGTGTGTGTGTGTGTGTTGTGTATGTGTCTGTGTTATGTGTGTGTGTGTGTGTGTGTGCATGCTTCCTCACTTCAAAATGTCTATGGTGCATTGCAGTCCAAAGCCATGAAAGGAAATCACAGACCCCCTATTTCCACAGAGATTGTTTGCCAGCTTCGATCCCACTCCGATAAACAACAATACCAGATTCACCAGTAACGCTCACATTGTATTTCCCAGCCGAAGGACTAACCCGTTAAAAAAGAGCCATCACTGTAAGAATCTATAGAAGCATTTATTGACATGCAGAACACAGACTTGAATAGTCGGAGGATGAGTTGTGATTTTTCTGTTCACATGTACGCAGCGTGTTGGTCTGACTTGTATATAAATGTCAGCTTTGATATAAAGTCCCGTAGATTAACACAGAATCTAATGAGGGTGTTGGCGGCTGCAGGATAAATGGTAGCGTCCTCTTGACATGACTGTGCGCTCACAGAGAGATCAGCCAGTATGAGCCGTCACCAGAAAATAGATCAATTTGCAGACGATGCATTTCAATTGCATACTTAAAATTCAGTGGATACTTTCCACACAGACACACGTACACACTGTGATATAAAAGCATCCGTCTGCTGAATATCAATGCACTGCATTTTCTAGTGAGTGGCTGATTATACATCAGATTAAATACACCATTGTTCAGTGTTTGCAGTAACTCATCTTTATCAGTGGCTGCTGGAGGCCTGAGCTGTTAACTTGAAATGTCTTGTTCTTTACCGTGTCGTTCGAATGCTCAATTATCGGAGCGGAGCACAAGTAAGACCACAATAATCTTTAGATTTTATTTTAAGAACAAGTTGTTAAAACACTTTTTAGCTGATATGGTGAACTTGGTAGCAAACATCCATTTTTCATGTTACACATTTAAATTGTGAAAGTATCAGTTTGAATGTATTTACATTTTCTGCGTGAAAAAGTGCGTCAGTTTAATATTGGAGAAATAATTACACATTTTGGGAAATGCACTGGAGTTTTGTGGTCACAGAGAGGTTGCCAGGCAACCAGCTGGGCTAAAAGCTCAGTTATGTCTCCTGAGAGATGATTGGTTGTTGTTGTTTTCATGTAATTTAGAAATCTCGATCCTGCAACAGCATTTTTTTATTTGTATAGCACTTTGTCACAAATCACTAATTTCCCTTCAGGAGCTTTAAAATCTGTCCTGAGGATTTTACTTCGGATAATGAAAAACTCCCCAAAAAGCCTCACTGTATTTCTAGTAGCCGTTAGTATGCTGGTGTCAACGAGGTCAAATTCGTTCTGAATCGTTTCGTCCTCATCTTTGTTTCAGACGAACAGGAGCTGCTGATCGAACGCAACGCACACACCGGCATGGTCAACCCCGGTGACCCCTGGCAGACCATCCTGCACGACGGGCCTGTGGCTCGCATCACGTATCGTATCCGGGTGCGGTGTGACGACAACTACTACGGCAACAAGTGCAACAAGCTGTGTGTCCCTCGCGACGACTACTTTGGGCATTATCGCTGTGAGCCTTCAGGGGCTCAGGTGTGTCTGGATGGCTGGATGGGACCAGACTGTGGAACAGGTGAGCCGCCAGGATCTGAACGTGTAAATACGTCAGACTTGATCCTTTCTTCTGCCGACATGTCAAACATTTCCCGGTTCCAGCTTCTCAAATACGATGGATTGAAACTTTTCTGTGTTTTGAATAGAAAATATTCAAAAATATAAAGTATTTTGGGCCTTGTGGTCTAAGTGAAATGTTATTATGCATTTTCCAATATTTCCTCAACAAAACATTTCTGGATTAATTAACTTTCTATCCTATTCAAATGAAATTGAGTTGAAAAATAATCAATATATAATTCTCATAGTTAAAGCTCTATATTTTTTTATTACTGCAGATTATTTGTTGCGTGTGTAAAGTTATTTATGGTCCCACAGTTGTGCTCGTGTTAAAACGTTCCTCTTGTGTTTGTGGGTGGTGATGGAGAGAGTGTGGGGGGGGGGGGGGGGGCTCAATAAATCACCCGACTGACCTCAGGAGTCGAAGGTTGAAAAGAGGAGGGGGAGTGCAGAGGTTGCTTTTAAGAACAAGGGGGTCGTGTTGTACATGCGCCCATAAAGTTGCCCCCCCCCCAACCCCTGGTCAGGGCACCATGAATACTCACGTCTTGTTGCAGTTGTTAGAAATATGGCAAACAAACCAGCGTCTCCTCCTCCCACCTCTTCCACCTCGTCACCTCCCTTTCTATTCTGAAATGTTTTAATGAAAGTAAATGTAATGATGCATTTTAAACATCATGTTTTAAGCTCATTCTCTTTCTTCTTGCTTTTTTTTTTTTCATTCTAGCAATCTGCAAACAAGGATGCGACCTGTTACATGGCGGCTGCTCAGTCCCGGGGGAATGCAGGTACGATTATCAGGGATGACTGAAAAATGTGGGTGACCGCTCCCTGCTCCTGTGTGTGTTTAACTCATATTGTTCCTGTTGCCTGTTTTTTTAGCGTCTTTGAAATTGATAATCGCTTTCTATAAAAACCAAACTGCAGTAGTGTTTGACTTGCACCCTTATTTTGATCTAAATGCCTGCGAGAGCGATTTCAGATGCCGAACTGAGACTTGTCGAAGCCTGCTGCGTTTCTGTGCCAGCCTTTCCTTCCCTCGTGGGCATCTCTACCTCAGTTCAAAAGAAAAGGGCAACGCCGCGCCTGCCTCCTTGTATTTTTAGCCGCCCGAGGTCCTCCACTGAATACCAAGCATCTCGGCAGCTCGGGCCTGAAGAAAGGGGCTCGACTGTGTGTGAATTTGACCACTGTAAACGTGCTGGGAATCGTCACGTCCCCCGTCTCCACCCGCATTGCAGTCCTGCTTGAAGGGCAGGGGGCAGAGGAGGAAATTAATATCCCACCGTGTTATGTACATTTCCCAAAGTGGAAACGAGCGTTAGATAAAGCAACGTGGAATGGCCCCGTTGCTCAGCGCTTTCAGGATGTGGTGCATCCCGTCGTCATTTGTAAACCACCCCCCCCCCCAACCCCCTCCCACCTGCCGGATGCAAAGAGACAGTTGCCTCCCCCGTCAGTAGGAAAAAGGTTTTTGGCTCGGAGCCGGGGAATAGCAGGGGATGACCCAGCTTTAGGAAGCTGTTCCGCATTTTTTTCTTTTCGGCGGCCTCGATCAGCCGGTTACATCCTTATTCCAGTTCGCGGACCAGACAACGGAGGGAAGCGCCTTATTCTTATGAAATGTCAAGTTCCAGTCAACAGGAAAGGTGACATGAATGGAGGAGCAGCTGTAAAGTCTCTTCCTGCAGTGGCATGAATTCAGTGAAGCTTCAGGTCCCAGAAAGCTGGCATTAAATCCTTTGCCATCTCCTTTTCATTCTCTTTATTCGCTCCCAGCTTTATGGGCTTTGCCTCATTCGCCGCCGGCTTTTAAGAAACACAAAAGCTGGTACGTGCTTGTTGTTACGATTGTGCATTGAGGGGTTTTTTTATTAGCACACATTCGACTTGTTCTGGCATATTTGTCGGAGGCTTGCCGTGTCCCAAGAATCCACTTGGTTAAGCAGCGCAACACTTTTTTTCAGCCCTCTGAAAACATTTAGCAACCTTTGACATGTCAAAGTGCCGAGATGCTGGAATCCGACCAGAAAGCAGCATCGTGCCCGTACGTGTTTGATGAGTAAACTTGATATTGATATGACTCCACCTGAGCTCAAAGGGGCGCGTTCAGGTTTCCTCTCCGAAGTTCTGTTGGTGTTATTCCCCCATAGCTGTCAGACTCCGTGCAGCTAATCATGCGCAGTGGAAGAAGAAGCATGACAGGTATTCCCCGCTGCCCCTCCACCCCGCTGCCTGAGAATGGCAGTGATTTCTGAAGGCAGAGGCAGCGGTGCCGTCTGCAGGAGACTCAAAATAGCGGTCAATTGACAAGACAGCTGGCTCGACGACACCACAGCCTTGGAATAGCCGATTGCTGTCATGAGGGTGCAGGCGTGTATACACGCTGCCGTCTCCAGCCCCTTCCCAGCTCCAGACTCCGACACAAGCACGGGAGCCGCTGGAAGTATTCTTAACCCCTCCTGCCCTGGAATCTTACCCTCCACTAAGATAAGTCGGCAGGAGGCGTTTGGACGGGTGGAGGAAGGGAGCAGGTACAATGTGAGGTGCAATTCCATCGTTGGACATGTTGCATTCAAGGGTTCACTTCCTTTTTCTAGAGACTGACCGATTTATCAGCTGGCAGATGATATTCCTGCCAGTATACACCGATATGATACGATATATTGTGTTTTTTAATTATAGTAAAGTTTATTTATCCCTTCTTTTCTTTGTCACAAGGATTCGATAATGACATCTTAGGAACAGATATCGGCCAGAATTGTTTTGCTCCCTAAAATCAATATCAGCTCCAGCGCCCACACATCCCTGTCGGTCGTGGTCTAGGGGCCCACTGGATATCTTCTTCCAATAATTCATCAAACGTCTCTCAAAGATTTTCTGAAGAATAGTAGTTAATACTGGCTGTCGTGGTCATCACATTTACATTTCTGTAATGTATTCTTCAGGAGATTAATCATTCAAAAGGAAGTTTAACCGCCGGCGAAGATAAAAGGGGAAAAGATTAACGGTGGTGTGTTGAATCTGTGTTTGACAGGTGTAACTACGGCTGGCAGGGCCAGTTCTGTGATGAATGTGTGCTTTATCCTGGATGTGTCCACGGGACCTGCAACCTCCCCTGGCAGTGCAACTGTGAGAGGAACTGGGGCGGCCTGCTGTGTGATAAAGGTATGAAAAATGTGTTAATGTTTCCGCCCTCGTCTGTTTTTTAATGTCAGCAGGAAAACACATGAACTGAACTGATTTTCCTGAAATAAGAAAGAACCCAGAAAAGTTTGATCCAGATCCAGGATTTTTCCCAGATTTCTCAGGGAATCATTTCTGGATCTTGATGGGAAAAAAATCTGACGTATTAAGAGGACTGATATCTATGAGCAACTTGATTCAGATCCAAATAAAAATCTATATCCAACAGATCGTTCGACGTCTTATAGACTCGTCATTAAGTGTCTTAGTGAGAGACCTTCATACGAGGTCTGGATTCTGCAGCTGGATAGTTTTACTGCCCGTGTGATCCGAGCAGCAGCAGGGACACTCGATCCCCTCCCACCCTTCGTCACCGAGGGCTCTTCAGGGGATGAGAACGGGTCCTAAGATCCAGAGTGGAGACAGATCCCTGCTCATTTATTTACCAGCCTTTACTGTGACCTGGCCCTCAGCCTAAGGATGGCGTGCAGGGATCAGATAGTGGAGCTTACTCTGTACATGGCGTGGAGAAACAAACTGCACATAGTGAAGAAAAGAGGCAGAAGTACGCTGGTTACTGTAACTTCTCAGCATTATAGCAGTGCAGTAGTGAACCTCCATCACGATGCAGTGCAGCAGAGTGGTTGAGAAAACACTCTGTGCTTCCTGTCAAAGCCGACAGCCGGTGTTCTGTGCCGAGCGACGACTCTGACAAGCTTCCTGGGAACCTCCGGCTATACCGACCGGATAAATCGTGAAAACGAGCAAAGAGCCGTCTCACAGGCTCGAACCAATTAGTCTGAAGACAGTTCCTGCTGACGCTTGAAGTTTCCTGCACCGGTTTTTAAAGTGTAGAGGGACGAGTTTATATTTTGTTTCTCATCCCAAGGTGCACTATTTAAAAAGACGCTTGTACAGCAAAACAAGTTTGTTTTCATTAATTATACAGGGTGCATGTTACCTGACTACAGAGGGAGACTTTCCATTTTAATACAGTTATCTTATAGGTTTGTAGAAAAAGCTGCATATTTAGGATCATTTGAATAATTGTTCAATTATGATACTAATCTGTGTTTAAACGCAATCTCTCCCCCGGTCTCCTCCAGATCTGAATTACTGCGGCCGCCACCAGCCTTGTGTCAACGGAGGAACCTGCATGAACCCTGAGCCGGACGAGTACCACTGCGCCTGTCCACAGGGCTTCTCCGGCAAGACCTGTCAGATAGGTGAGAGACGGAGATCACACTAGAACCTGCAATGCCGTTTGAGAACCATCCTTGAACATTAAAATAATGACAGAGAATCCTTGATGAATATGCGAGTCGTGTTTTATTTTCCATTCTGATACCACGTCCTCTTCCTTCCTTTAGCCGAACACGCCTGTGTCTCCAACCCCTGCGCCAACGGTGGTACGTGCCACGAGGTTGCTACTGGGTTCCAGTGCCAGTGTCCGTCAGGCTGGGATGGTCCGACCTGCGCCAACAGTGAGTCGCTGCGCTACTTTCAGGCTTCTGCTCTCTTTCTTCTTTCTTCACCCTCTGCTCTGCATCTTCGTGTAGAATTCCTTCTCTAAACGGGACGCGTGCGTGTTTTTTTTCTCAGATTTGGACGAGTGTGCGTCCAGTCCTTGTGCTCGAGGTGGAACCTGCATCGATAGGGAGGACGGCTTCGAGTGTGTGTGCCCGCCACAGTGGAAAGGAAAGACCTGCCGGATCGGTGAGTTTCCGGTCTCCGTATGGACGCACACGACTGTTCGCTTGTTCCTAAAACCAGTAAATTCCCCTGAGGCACAGCAGACAGCCTCACTCACTGTCCTGGATTAACTGTATTTTGGGATTAAAACTGCAAACCTGAGGCCAGAGTACACATTTAAAATATCCTGGATGAGCCGGCAACACCCCACAGCTCAGAGAGAGAGTGTGCGTGTGTGTGTGCGTGTGTGTGTGTGTGTTTTTATCTCAATGACTTTACGAGCCACTAGTGCGTCTATATCCGGCGGTTTGTTAGTCACCGGCGGTGGTACGCGTTTCTATGTTGCTCACATCCCAGCAGGCGGACGTGACCAGCACCGAGCCAGGAAATGGATTATGACCGGTAAACAAAGTTGGTGGGGGTGGGGGTGGGGGGGGCGGAGATAGGAAAGAGATCCCAAGAGTTCAGTGTCATCTTACCAGCTCAGGTCTCAGTTTACAGGCAGCTATTGGCCTCCTGTGTTACCTGGCGATTGGTGTGTGTGTGTGTGTGATGTGTTGGTTTTCAGAGAGAGAGAGAGAGAGAGGACAGGTGTATGTGAGTGAACAGGACTCCCTGTGGAGTAGCCCCCCCCCTCAAAACCCACCAATCGACTACCCCCACAACCGTTGGAATGTTTGAGCAGCAGTGCTTTTCTTGATATGTTGTCAAAACAGAAATGAAATCGAGCGTTTTTAGCCGCGTATCAGAATCAACGACCATCGATCAGGATCAATATTTCATCGAGCAGCTGAAACCAGATTCACGTCTTTGCATTGACTCTGTGTATTAAACTGCTAAAGATGAGCTCTTGGTGTGAACGCACCATTAGAGGTTATGTGTTCATTGTACTGCATGAATGTCGTTCTGTGTCATCTTAGTGTTTTAAGTCCATTTTGATTTTTCTAGAAACCACTCAACCATAC